ACAATTTTGTTTTCATATGGAAAACCGTCCGTCGTCTTTTCTTTTTGTTTCCTCTTGATTGCGCTGGCATATGATGAATTAAAGTATGATACAATTCCTTTTTTAAATGTAAAGAACCAAATTCTGATCACAGTATGGGGTGCACGTGGAGAATATGTCACGATCTGGATCATTCAGACACAAAACAGGAATAAATTAAATCCAGGAGAAAAAGTATTTTAGAAATATCTACAGCTGAGATTTTTTTATGAAACCACATGAACATAGTTGAATTATTAGACCCGACAAACATCATATCATCAGTTCATCTCTTTACTTCCTGTTTATTAGAGAATTAGGAAGTTTGAGATCAACGTGTGTTCTAACTCACACTCACACGGTGAATATAGATGAGTACACTGTTATAATGAAATAATATTAGTATTTATTAACTGCACAGAACTAACAGGGAATGTAAAGTTTCGGTGTGTAGAAAGAAGCGGTTCAAAAGAAACACGAGAAAATGATTTCAAACAAACTTCCAATAAATGCAAAGCTGTTTCTCTTTGGTTTCAATCCAGAAGATGATAATTATAATAAAAATGAACAAGCAATAATGATCGTCTTTAAAGAAAAAAAACAGTTACATAGCATAAACTCGACTACATTAATTATTTTTGTTAGGGGGACCTGCCGAGTCCGTCAGACAGCAGGTTTTACTCTCGTCTGCTGAGCACCGACGACACCGAGGACGTTATTGACCCGGACGAATACCTGCTGCCCTACAGAGGCATGGGTAACCATAAGGACCGGCCCATGGTAAGGACACACACACACACAACTATTGTAGTCTAATCTAGTCTAAAGACACATTGTTACATGTCTATATGTTTTATCAAACATTTTAGTAAATGTTACATGAAAAAACATCGTACTTAAGAAAGTGTTCGGCGCCCCCTGGCGACCCAAGTAAATGTAAACTGTCTACTTCCACTCGCCATAAGTGGCCAGAAGTACAGCTATTTATATACTTTAAATATTTCCTTTGTGTTTCATTCTAATGAGCGTGCTTTGATGAAACAGAGGTGTTTCATTGATTCTCTCTCTCATGTCAGAATGGTCATCCGGCCGGAGAGAACAGCCTCGCCCTGCGGTACATCACCGATCCCACTGACAGCGCACTGGAAAAGGACTTCATCGACCACGGTATCCATCATCAAACATAACTCAGACCAGTGACAAATGATTAGGAGATGTAAATCAATTAATAGCCGGACAGCAAACTGTCTTCATGACAGAAAATTAATTAATACCTAAACAGCATTTTCCTGCTCTGCCTTCCAGAGTACATGAACCAGAGTGTGAGTGAGACCAGCCAGAGCAGCCGGCTCTCCAAGGTTTTAAACCCTAATTATGAGGACCTGAGCCTGGGCTGGGGTGCCCCCCCACTTCCCCACCCGCTGGAGGATCTGAGCACCTCCCAAGTGCCCTATGGACCCGAATACCTGAACGCCTCCTGCAAACTGCGCCCTCTGGTGACCAGTCACAGCCTTGATAATCCAGACTACCAGGCTGACTTCCTGCCTCAGACCATTACAGATGCAACGTTAGCCGAGAACCATCTGTTCCTCCCAGCAGCAGAGAACCTCGAGTATCTGGGTGTGGGCGGCGCTCTACATGCTCCTGTCCGCTAGGGGGCAGCAGCACTCGGGCTGTCAGACTGAAGCTGTGCTCTACTTTCATTCAAGCTGCCCACAGGAATTAATTGTTTTACAGTCAGTTCTTCAGGAAACACTGACTGGAGCAGAGGCAGGACTTCATCCAGACCGACAGCCTCAGACTCACAATTGATCTTTGCAAGTTTGTTTGACTGGTAGGACCAAAGGACTTGGTTTAAGCTCTGCAGCTCCTGAATGAGTTTCTTTAACAGTCTCAGTCTGACTAAAACCTTCTGTTTGACTTGAAATACTCTGAATGAACTTTTATTGTATAAAATGTATAAAGTTGTGAATTCTTTGCTTTACTTGATAAGAATGAGCCAAATCAAGATTTCCTGTTAACCACTACTGCTCGTGTCTGTGTATCACTGTTGATAGTGTAAATTTATGGAAGTTGAGAGGCTGTCTGCAGGTACTGAACCTTTTGTCAGCTTTTCCTTTTCAAGAGAATAAATAGCTTTCATATTTATGGAAACGATGATGATCAGGACTTTAATGTGTTAGAGGAACATGGATGATGAAGATGTGCCCAACAACAAACCATAAAGAGCATCTGATCAGAGTGGGAGCAGTTTGGAGTGAGTCTCGAGCATCCAGACAGAAAAACTTTTCAATCTATCAAATTTAGATCCAACTTTTACAGCTCACAGTGCTGAACTGGTTTTGTTTAGTTTGAATATTCCAAAAAATCAACCCAAGTTTAACCGACAATGCTGAGTTATTGTCATTGTTGTGGTGCATCGGTTACTGAGGGCCCCTCATAGATGATGCTTGACGTTCGAGTCCCTGTTTGGCTGGAGCCTCTCTGTGACATAGATGTAAACTGGCTGTAGTGGTGGAAAGCATAAAGTACTACATGAATGTGTCTTGTAGCGTAGAAGGCTTCGAGTTAAAAAAAAACAACAACTGCTTTTTAAGGCGGTAGTGTTAAGAATTAATCAGCTAATTTCTCTGTGCTTGAACTCATTTGGAGACAAATCATGTAAATTATTTGACAGCCTTCAGCCTCCATAGAGAACCACACTGAATGTCTGTATATGTGATGTGACTCGGTTTGGCTTTAACTGTGGTTAGATGTGAACTCAGGTGTGAATTCAGTTTTCTTTAGCTGACCTGCTAACAGGTTACATTCACTGTTTTCTTGTTTACTGAATGAAGTTAAATATCTGCAGGATATTTATCTAAGGTTTATTTAGAGCAAAATGCCACGAATGTTGGCACCAATCTTTTAGAGTTCGTAGGTGGAAAATGTGGGAAAGTGTGGTCTCAGAATAAGGTGTTGCCTCAGGTGGAAGGTGTTTTGTAGTGTAAGGTTGAGACCCTAATATAAAGAGATAATATAAATATATTCCTGCCCTCACCTATGGGCACAAACTTATGGTATCACAATAATAAGGGAGTCGAGCTCAGCCTAATGTGGGTGTTAGTTTCCCCAACATCTGCCAGAGTCTCCTGAAGTCCAAGTGACTTGTGGATCTGAGTGGATATCCTCATGCCTGCCAGCTCTGTGACTGTGTGACCGTCAGAGTGTCAGAGTATGTTCACCACTTAAGAGATAAAATAACAACCGGAGCAGCTACTACTCCATATTGGAAGGATCCAGATGTGCTTGTGTCATCTGACTGTTTCTACCCAGGAAGCAGTGGGGAGTCTCTTGGCTGGATTAGGAATACATCATTATTCCTGTGGAAGAGCTGGAAGTGGTGGAAATGGAGAGGGAGGTCTGGGCATGTCTGCTGAGACTGCTGCCCCAACATCTGGATGCTGACAAGCAGTGGAAAGTGGATGGATGGAGGAATGTAACCATGATGAATATGATGGATGGACAGGAAAGACTCTGAGAAAACTTCAAACTAAAAGATTCATAAGAAGAGAACAGAAACCAAAACATTCCAGTACATGTTGCTTCTATGTGATTAACCTCACTGCTATTTCAGCCAATATTGAGTGAGTGGTGTTCTTTGCCTCTCGCAGATCAGGGTTCACTGAGTAAACATTGCTGGGTTTTCATAAAAAAATGTAAACTAAAACTTTATTTACTACATCGGAAAGACCTACGTGTAAAATATGAGCTTTTCATGACATTTTTCAAAGTTTAATTTCAGTTTTTGATCTTTTATGGAGTGTGATGACAGCTGCCATGTTGTCTCCTCACTCTAACAGTCACTCGATTATCAGTTATATTATTTTCACTTCAGAGACACTGGCACAGCATATCCCTGCATGAACCATGTAAATGATCCGGCTGATGAATGGGGACGTTGTCTCTGTCGTGTTCTGTGCTGGTTTGTTGTGGATTTTGTGACCCCCTCTGAGTCCAGAGCAGGCGTTTCCTCCATCATCCAGGGGTGGAGTCATGATTCCCGCCCTTCATCATCCTCATTAAACACAGGTAGTTAAGGACCAGCTCGAGCATCCAGTCTAAACCTGATAGTCTGCTCCTGCTAATGCTTTTGTCTCCCTGTTCCCAGCATCACCTCCCCTACCTGAGGAGAGAGTTACTCACCTTTACAGCTTACCTGCTTCCTCAGAGCTGGTCCTCTTCCTTCTGGAACACACTTCCTTTGCATCCTGGTCTTCAGGGAACCTCTCCCTACGAGTAAAAAGAAACAGTGGCAGAAGGATTCTCTCCTGCAATGATCAAACCTTATTTGAGTAGCTTTGTTGTGAGAAATAAAAGCCTTGTGACTGTGAACGCTGTGTCTGTCATTTTGCCTTGTCCTGAGTGGCCCGCACCACTTCAATGGCTTCCTGAGTGAAGACATCCCAGCTTCCACAGGGTGAGAGGCGGGTACATCCTGGACAGGTCGTCACTCTGATGCAGGGCTAACCATTCACAGCTATGGGCAAGAACCACCAGTGAACCTAACCCCAGTAACTGCATGTGTTTGGAAAATAATTATTTTGTGTCATCACTCATCCTGAAAGAAAGTTTAAAGTCGAATCTCTAACCATCCCCCGAATCCATCCTGGCAGCTCGTTCCACATGAGCGGCGTCTGAAAGCACTAAATCTCAAGTGCTGTTATTATTATTATTATGTGTGGGGTCACTGTTCTCTCTGAAGTCGTTCCATCTCGCATTAAACTTCACTGAAGTCCAACTTCAATATCCTCCGAGGAACTTTTGACGGGAATCAAAGAAAGAGACTGTAACCTGCTCAAAGTTCAGTCTTTTTTCTTTAAAGAGCAAAACTCAAGTAAAAAGAACATAAAGTGTTAGACTTTATTCAGTGCTCACACACACACACACACACACACACACACACACACACACACACACACACACACACGTGATTGTTGGGTTTGGGTTTGTATAAAATATTTTTATACTAAATATAGATGTTTGCAGGCACGGAGCCCTAGGCAAAGTTTGATCCACTTGTCTGTGGAAGAGACAGGGAACATACAAACACTATGATCATTACAGTGTGATGATGATGACTGATGAAATATTCTGTTCAAAGTCAAATTTGTTTCATAGAGATTAAAAAGCAAAAAACCTGCTAAATGGAGATCCAACTGAACAGGTTGGAAACTACACAGAATACAAGCAGCAACATCAATGAGGGAGTAATAATAAAAGACAACACATGAACCAAAACACTAGGTTACAGAACTGGACAATCATTAGAATACCCATAAAATAAAACGATCACATTATCGTTATTATAGACCCCAAATCACATTAACTACTTCTCACAATATATGAAAATAATACAAGAAATAAAAACAGGAAACCAAAGGTTCACAAACAAAACCTGAAAAACTCTAGAACAGTGAGACAGAAATGAACCAAGACCTCAGTGACACCACGAAAGTGCAGTGATAACAGTCACCTCCCCCCAACAGTACAGTGAGATTGGAGGGTTTGTGAATTTAACAGCTCTCTTCAGCCTGACTCTTTCTCTCTGTTAGCGTCATTAAACACAGACTAAAAGCTGCTCTAATCACCTTCATCTCTACTCCACCTCTTAGACATCTGGCCCAGTCCATCAGGACACTGCCCATCCTCACTCTGCACATGCACCACCTTATTTATCATTTCCACCTGCAGAGAGAAGAGAAAGAGCAGAGGGGATGACAAGTGGCAGTTGTGCAGTTTAAGTTAATTTTATGGTTTTGAGTTACAATTTAAAATAATTTATGTTTAATAAATCCATTGTTGTTTTTAAACACGCATTGAAAGGTTCTACATAATGTGTCCAGGATGGAACCAATGTTCAATCTGTTGTTTAGGTTTGACAATATTTTACATGCCACACTCGGTAGAGGGCAGCATCTTTCCTTTCTCAGTCTGTGGATAGACATTTGGGGATGTGTGCAGCAAGGTTTGGGTAAAGAGGGTGCACTGCAAGATGTGTTTTTATTAACCTCTTCAAGTTAATGCGGCCAATGGAGCATGTAATTAGTATTTTATGTGCTGGTATGAAAATAAGATGTTTATTTGTGACAGACCTGTCGAGTTTATGTTATTTATGTGTAATACAGTCGTCATGTTGTAAAGGTCAAATGAACTGATTGTGGATGTTTTGTGTTGGTGAATAATATGTTTTAATGTTTACTCGCTATGACAACGTCTTAATGTGAAAATTGATTATTTTATGTTGCTTTGTACAGTTGGCATCTAATAAATGCCAGTAGGAGTCAAGAACACCTTGTGTCTGTCATTCTACTTGGAGGGAGTTACATCCAGTATAAAGAGCAGCAGGGACTTTAGTCCCATTCAGGGCAACAAGTGGCTCAGGTTTGCACTATGAATTAAGTTCAACATATGCAGGATACTTTTCCATTATCTGTCTTTAATTAACCTGACTTCTTTTGCAGTATTAGCTTAAAAATCTACCCCAGATTCCAGCCTTCATCATTCAAGTCCAGCCTATTTGAAGCTGGAAAAACTCTGGCTGAAATGTTAACTATGTAAATCAACATTTAACTCAGTATCATGTCTTTATCATCAAGTCATGGCAGTGTAATTATTATTCTATTAGATTAATATCACAGTTTTCAGTTGCATCCTCTGTGATATGTAACAGGACACAAGACTATGATTTTTACTAATGCTCATCACATAAAGACAAAGACTTAAGATGGTCGTCTGTTTCTGAAATATCATTGGACTAACAAACATGACCGAATGTACTGAAAGAAAGACACATGTACAAATGTGAATCATGGATGTCGGAGTTTCTGGTCTGTAAATATCACATGGATAATAAATTTAATGACAGTTCTCTGATTTCAGGGCCGAGACAAAAATGAAACTGACCAGGTGTTTAGTTTTGAAATGCGAAAACAAAGTGTGAGATCAGATTTAATGCTCCCACAGTTTGATGAGTGAGGACCAACGTCTCTATAAATCTGTAATGTCAGTTGGATTTCAAATGTATTTTGTGTAGACATGAACACAATAAAAACAGTCATTGTTCTCTTTGTGTTCTTGTCTCATAGGCTTCACTGAGAAAAGAGGTACTGAGAAAGCTGTAAATTTACAGGAAACACTGGAGTTTTGCTTTAATTCTTCACTGTGTTAATTATAGTACTGCTGAAAATACCATGGACTCACTCCAACAATTTATTTACCTCAGAGTCTCCAGTCTACAGTGTGGGCTCTCCACCAGATCAGACAGCTGCTTCACATCTGAATCCTGAAGGTTGTTTCTTCTCATGTACAGCTGTCTCAGATAGGAGGATTTCAAAGCTGATACCAGATAATCACAGGCAATCTTTGACAAACCACAGTTTTCCAATCTGAAGAAGAAAAAAAAATAGTTCATTAGTAAGTTTCAGCTTGAAGTCATTCAGTGTTTCATCATCTGTTGAAAGATGAAGAAGGTTAAAAATCTAGAACTATATAATCTTCACATGATGCCATACTACTGAACTTTTATTTCTTTCACTCAGATATTGTACAAAAGATTTTGCTTTTTATTTAAATGTCAGCTAGATTTTAAGGTAGAATGGAGTATTTTAGCGTTTCAGAGTGAATTGTGCAGTGGAGGATTTTTCTTCTTCTTTGAAGGTTTGAAATATGAACATTGTTCTGCTGCAGTCAATGGACTAAACCAGAGAAGAAGAAAACAGACTTTACCATCAAGATCCTCAGTCTGGATCATTATAATAGTTTAATCAGTTTAGTGTCAGCACAACTTTCACATCATATTCATCTCAGCACAACTAAAACATTCTGACTGACCTCAGAGTTTCAAGTTTACATCCTGGACTCTCCAGAAAACCACACAGATGCTTCACTCCTGAATCCTGCACATCAGTGTTGTTACTCAGGTCCAGATGTTTCAGATGGGACAGGCAGGTCTTTAAGGCTGAGACTAGAGAAGCACAGCTGACCTCTGACAACCAGCAGTACTCCAATCTAATTTAAGAATAAAACATGTAAAAAAAAAGTTTCAAACATAAAGATATGAAATATAGTAAAAACCAGTCAGTGAACTGACCTCAGACTCTCCAGTCGACAGTTTGGACTCTCCAGTCCAGCAGACAAACACTTCACTCCTGAATCCTGCAGCTTATTGTAACTCATGTTCAGCTCTGTCAGATGGGAGGATTTGGACTTCAGAGCTGAGGCCACATTGTCACAGTGAGCTTCTGAGAGTCCACAACCAGCCAGTCTGCGGTTAGAGAAAATATAAAATGTGTGTTTATAACAGCAGAAAATCTGCATTATAAACACAGACTGAATGTATATGAAGATAAAACAGAGTGACGTCATAATCTGATGAACATCTGCTCCTCACATCTGCGTTTCAGCTTCTCTTACTGTGTTTGACATCTGAAGCTTTAGGGGCAAAGGTGAGCTTAACGTCAGGTTTGCATCCTGATAAATAAATTGTTGGAGTGAGTCCTGGCCAAACCAGTAGGTAGAAACAGTCTTACGATGTGAAGTATCTTCAAAATCAGTCACCTTGAGCTCCCATCTAACTTGGATTGAGTATGCACACAACACCCTAAGCTCTTCTGGTGACAGTTTCTTTACATTTGAAGTTTCTTTAAATCACCATCTTGACTGTAATTTCTAGTCAAGATGGTGAAGTGGTCCCATCTGCTGCAACACCATCTGCGAAACTGGCATTGTGCCTGGAAATAGATAAAGGCTGTGTTTCTCAGATTGGTAGATAAGAATTGGCGCATGGAGAACAAGCAGAGGACTGTCTACCTGTTCAAGAAACCTGTTAAACCTGTTAAACCTGTCAACGGCTGTCAGTGTCTGATCCTTGGCTCTGATTGGCGGTTAAACATGACACAGTATCACTGTATTAAATTAAATGACGCACAACTGTTCTGTGTATAGTGTCAAGTGAAAGTGAGATAATGAAGATTTGAATTAATGTTAGAAATAAGACGCAAAAAGAAACCTGCAGTTTCTGGCCATTCTTAGATTGCAGTAATTCTTTGCAAGAATTATCTGAATTACAAATACCAAATTTATGAGAATCCACTAAATTATGTTAAAGACCCATAAACACAAACTGAAATTCAGACCTCATTGAAGCTCAGATATTCAGCTTTGAAACAACCTTAATTTGGACTTCTTCTTCTTCACATGTTTATCTCAGCACAACTAAAACATGGTGCTGACCTTAAAGTCTCCAGTATACAGTATGGACTCTCCAAAAAAACACACAACTGCTTCAGTCCTGAATCCTGCAGGTCGTAGTTGCTGCTCAGGTCCAGTTCTCTCAGATGGGAGGGGTTGGACTTCAGAGCTGAGTTCAGGTAATCACAGCTGACCTCTGACAATCTGCAATTTGTCATTCTGAATGAAGAAAAAAAAGATGTAGATATTTAAGTTTCATTTAAGTTTCATTTTTTGATGTCCTCATCAGTGAGGTTATTTTTTTAATCAACAGACTTATTATCATGAATCATCATCAAGCCTTCTGTTAACATTAAGATTGGAGTCTGACCTTCTTGTTTGATTCAAACAAACCTGACCACATGACCTCATCTCTCTGAGGTGACCAATAATTGGAGTATGAACTTTACAGAGGTATTCGAATGAGTTTGTTTTTAACTTAAATTTAAGGAACACAGGATTTTTGACAGTTTGGGATTAATAAAGTTTAACCTGACTCAGTATTAATGAAAAGTTAAACAGATAGATAGAGGTTCAACCAGTAATCAAAACTGTACAGAGTTTTTGGAATCACTTGTACCAGGTACAGTACATATCATACA